GTGAAAAAAAAAAATTGAAATAACCACAATGAATTTGTAACTTTTTTTTACCTTAAAACGCATGAATTCATGCTTGAGAAGTTTGACATGGAGGTCATCCCAGCGCTCAAAGTTGCGTTCATCTTGCTTGAAAAAATGGGGAGTTCCTTTCCTGAAGGATTTCCTCTCCTCAGGATGCCATTTTCCCAGTATTGATATTAATGAATTTTCATCAATTCCAACTCCTGCTTCAAATTAAATAAACTTTTTACCAAGAAATTAAAATGGGTGGATTAAAAAAAAAAATTTGAAATGAAAAATAAAATAAAAAGGAGAGCATTTTTTTAAAAAAGAACCTGAGAAAGCCTTGTTGAGAGCTTGAAACTCATCAGTGAGAGCCATTCTTTTCTCTGTGTCGATTTTTCTGTTGATGAGAAGTCAGGCAACGTGTAGAGATCTTCTCCGCCATGCTGCTGCATATATATGAGCTCGAAAGGTTATTTTTGTCATTTTGAGATAAGGGTAATTTCGTAACTTTGTTTTATGTTTATAAATAATTATAATGAAACAGAAGAGGAGTTCAATGTCGTATTTTTATAAATGACCAAAGTAAATGTGTCATTATAATTTAGCGTTTTCTTGCATACCCTTCTCCACACATTATGGTGTATTTGCTATAAACTCCCAGAACTTTCTACAATTTGTAGTTTTATCACCACAGAAGTTTTGATGAATGCCCCTTTAATCAAACAGGTTAGATATATAATTAAGGGGAGATTCAAACTTGAGATCTCATTCCACGTCAAAAAGAAAGTAATACTAAACTAAATTAATCTATTTCGTTTCACATATCATAATCAAAGAAAAGATTGGTGCAGCATATCATCAAAAGGATTTTTTATTTTCCCTTTTATTTTATCTCCATTGTAACAGAAAATAGAGTTTTTTTCGTTTTGCAAAGTCATCAAAAGAAGCCACAAGATGTGGTATGGTTGGCAAACTGCCCCATTCAATTAGCAAGCTACCTGGTGCCTTAATAATAAGGGTTCGAAACTCGTTGAAAACACTTTATGGCTAAGGACAAATTGAACCCTAAGCGGGAATTAATCCTACCATTTGGATCATGGTATTTTTTTTTTTAAATCATCAAAAGAAGATTAGTAAGACATTTTCATTTTTTTGGAAATCGAAAAGTTTCTTCAACATTCTTTTTGAGTTTGGGTAACAAGAACATTTTCGACATGCCACTTCTTCATAGTAGATACGTATTCACAAGGTAAACACTAGATACGTACAACTATCACAAATTTTAAAAAATAATTGGCTGTGAGTTGCCAAGGAATTTTAGCTCGCCTTACAAATAATTTTGTATTAAAAGAGTATAGAAAGAAAGAAAGAAAGTGTGATAAATGTGAGTCTACAAGTTCAATAATATATTGGTTGGAGAATATAATTGATTGTCAACAACTCAAAACTCTCCTCTCTAACTCTTTCACGCATGACACGTACTGCCTTTTACAGAAGGCAAATCCATCTAGCTAAGATATGCACCTCGTGAGATGAGATCCTCAATGTGAAAAATAAATAAATAAATATTTCAACAGCTTATCGTGTTTTCCTTGAATTTATTTATTAAATATGTAATTAAGACTTTCTGGCCAACGGATGCATGTGATGTGAATATGTGAGGAAGTGTACCAGAATTCTTAATTTTTTTCTTTTCTTATGTCAACGGGGTCTAACCTAATTACAGATTAATGGTCTCATATTCGAATCTCTATAGGCTATAGCATATTAGTAGTAAGTATGTGAGAAACCCTCCATTCCACCACTTGTAATTTTTTTTTTTGGGTTGAGAAATTCTAGAATTGCATTTATAATTTAGCCAAAAAAAGTACTAGTCACCAAAAGACCAATACAAACTAACCACAAAGGCAATTACAATAACGGAGTGGTCTAACATTAAAATTAGTACACCTCAACTAACGATCACGCATGATCGAAGAAACTCTGGCATAGACATCCCAACTAAAATTGCAAACTTAGGATAATAAGAAAGAGATAAAGCTTGAAAAAACCAAGCGATAAAAAAGCTCACAAAGAAAATGTCCTTGAGATCTCAATATTATTATGTACATCAAAACGAATTTTGGTTGCCACACTTAAAAACACAAGGTTGTAAACAATTATGTCCTACATATATTTCTTAAAAAGATTCGCAATCATGTAAGATTATTGAATATATGTGATTTCTATCCTCTGTAGAATCTATAGACAGATAACATATAATAATATTCCACACATCTTCATGGAAAGAACATGTGGTTGTAAAATATTGAACAAATCTAATCAAATAATTTGAACTCAGTCATCTCATCTTTCAACACAAGAAGTTGTTGGCTGGCTTTTGAGCTATTCCAGTTGTATATCAGAATCATATAAACACAAGAAGTTGATTAGAAAAGTATTCAACATATATATCCAAATAAAACCATCTTTCAGCTATCAAATCAAGAACATTGCTCTCTACAAATCATGAAGGGAAAAGCTACAAATCATGGCATGGCCCAAAAGATGTGTTAATTAAGATTAAAAAAGCAAAGACATTGCCCTCTGTGATCTCACTTTTTTCAGCAGCTGTGTGGATCATGCGGGTAAATATTAGAGTTTAGAGTAATAAGTGGTTACACTCGTAATAATATCGAGACATTTTGTGATAAAAACCTATATCTATTGGCTTTGTAAATGATTAAGTTAAAGATAATATCGATGTTGCTATTTTAACAGTGTGCCACCTGAAACACATGGCGCAACTAATTAAAACAATTGTATCAATTGTGGGGCTGCTGCTATATCTTTTTCTAGCAGTTGGTTGTTGAAATGGAAACCAATGATGCATATCATATGCATAGATTTAAATGATAAATAATTATACATGACATGAGATTTCACATGTGAGGGTGCAGGTACAGCTAGGTTTGATGAATGTTCTTATCATAATTCCTCATCACGAAGGTCAAGACACGCATTCTGATGGTGATTGATGCTTTGGACCACGTTGCCTTTATCTCTTTGTCTCTCCTTTTTGGTAGGTTGGTTTTCATTCAATTATTGTTTGTTTTATCTTTTTGGTGTTTTCTGAGATCATATCAAACACCAGGTGAATTCTCTCTCTCTCTCTCTCTCTCTCTCTCCCTTTATTTTTTAATGGTCACATTGATATATTCCTAAGCCTTACAGCCTCCTCATCAGCTAATTAACTTGGCTAAAGAGGCCATTGACAATATTATAAGCTTGGTTAACCGTAATTCTTGGGTGATTTTCACAGATGACTCTTTTCAGTCACCCTTCAACTATTTTCTCACCTCGACTCAAAATAGTTGAAGTTTTCTTGGGTACTGTGGTCTCTAAAAATTGTCTAAGAATTTAAAATTGAAGTTTTCTCACCCCTCGACTCAAAATAGTTGAAGGGTGGCCAAACTAGGCCATGTTGTGTTTAAACTAGTACTCTTCATAACTAGTTACGGTCATGAATTACGAAATTATAGATGTCATTTGCAAAAATAAACTACGTATCAAAATCTCATTAACTTCAAAGAAGTAAAAGCTAATGTCACTAGGCCAAACTGGTTATTCACCTATCTCTTGCATATTAAAGCAAATGTTGGGGTTTCTTTGTACTGGTTCGAGGAACCTCCTGATTTAATTTCTGATGTACTGTATGAGGATTGTAATTCATGATCAAGAAATTTCCTTTGCCCTTGATACAAGTTCAGACTTATTGTATCAGCTTTTTCACATTAATAATATTCTATCGCTTATCATAAAAAATAAAAAGCAAATTTTGCCTATCTCTCACTTGGAGTTATTGAAACACTGTTTACTTATTTGGTACGTCATGGCATTCATGTTGCTTGCTTTTGCTGATAAATTATGACAACATTATTTTTTTTTTGCCTGTTATTTAGTACTTAATGCACTCACTCAAACTGATGTGTTTTATGGCCTACGTACTTTATATCCCCATATGAAACAGCTGTTAGCAATTGACCAGAAAAAGACCTATTCATGGATATATAATTATGGTGATGAAATTGATGCTAAACGCTCCAAAGGGTACGAGTGATAATTAGTTGGTAACCGATGAAAGGTGCATTTGTACATGAGGTGGTTCCAACTTGAGAATAGAAAGTCTTCATGGTCACCAAAAAGGATATACACAAAGTTTGTGGTCCAGTCTCAAAAATCACAAATAACAGGGTGCACTCGATAATTTCGACAAAATCCAAGGGCTTTTTCTTTGTTAAGGTTGGTTGCCCTATTTATTTCATTTCATTTTTTTTTTGGTAACCAATAAAGGTACTTGTAGCTCTAAGTCTTGAGAGAAATCTACCTTTACACTCCTTTTTTTTGTTCAACATCTATGGTCCATGAGATAAAGATTAGTTATATGCTAAAAACAAAAGAAAATGATTACTAGTAATTTTTCATAAGCATATGGTTTTATGATAAATTGCAATTACTACAAATTGCCTTAATTATCCGAAGACCACATGCCCATTTGGTGTAGAGATACTCCCCTATTCCTCTAAGACATTGCCCAGTTTTTGTACTTCTTTCTTTCATCTCATCAATAAAATACTATCATTTTTTGTGGAAAAAAAATCGCCTTAATTATTAAGAGAGTTAAACACTTTTTGTCCTTGTGTGTTAATTTGTTAATAATATTAGTGGCTTTGTGTGTTTTTCTATTTTTTGTTGAATAGTGATTTTTGTTTTCAAAGCTCACTCATATGAGCATATTAAAGTGTAATTACATGGGAATAACCTAAAAAAGGGTTTAGGAAGTTTCTCTTTGATCAAACAAATGGGAATAACCTAAATTGCTAAATTAAACAAGGACCAACTCAACAAATTAAAAATATAGGGACCAAAATGAAAATCGGAGCAAAATGCAATAACCAAAAATGTATTGTTCCCTAAAAAAATTATTTTATGGTAAACAGGGGTAGTGTGGTAAATTCTGAATATAAAAATGAGTGGTAAATTTGTCAATTTGAAAAGATGATCATACACACAACAAATCTATGCTTCCAGCGAAGGACGAGGCAAACATAGAGGGAAAAACAACTGAAGGAGGAGAAAGAAACGGCTAAAAATGCAGAGTTTCTTTAGTAGACTGCGTAGCACTAGCTCAGTGCACAAACAAAATTCTTCATCTGCAATCTCATCTTCAGAGGAAGATTTCAAGCTGACCGGATCAATGGGTACTGTCAAAGTACCAGAACCTGTTCCTTCTCCAGACAACGACTGTCAGAGGCTCAAAAAAGCCTTCGAAGGTTTTCTTCTTCTTCTCTCACTCTCAGACGTGATTCAATTATATGATGGTTTCATTGAAAAAGTTTGTGTCTTTGAATGTTTTGTTCAATGTTGGTTCATGGGTCAAGGGTGAATTTGTGAATATATCTGTGAAGATTTCTGATTCTCTCTCAGAATTTTCGTGGATTAATTTGATTTCTTCATGGGTTCATTTGTGGATTAGCTGAAAACACATGTGTATTTATGTTATATCAACCATCTTGTTTCTCTTTTTTTCTTGTTGCAAAAATATGGGTGGCAGAAGCCTGAAACTGATTATGATAATTTTTCATATAAAATTTTCTGTTATTTGTCATTATAATTTGATATTTGTTTCCTGTCATTGGATGAATGAAATAAATTTGGCTACTTTTCATTTGAAAGTTGGTCTTTTTGAAAATCTTTATAATTGATTTGGCTGCTGCTGATATTCATTCATGAATATATTTATCAAGTGTTTGTACAAATGGATTTAGGATTGGGAACGGATGAGGAGGCTGTGATATGGATATTAGGACATAGGAATCAAAGCCAAAGAAGGAAAATCAAAGACACTTATCAACAGCTTTACAATAAATCTCTCCTTGATGATCTCCACTCTGAGCTTTCTGGAGATTTCAGAGTAATTTTCTCCAACCCTTTATGCTTGTCATTTCTTTCGCATAATTCATAGAGGAGAAATACTCCCAACTTTCATTTCAAACAACATTTCCATGCTATCCATCAAAGGGTCATAATAAACTTCTTACATGAGTATGAAAAACACATGTATGTTTGTTGTTATTACTATTTCCTAATTATTCAAGTTGATAAAAATAAAATAAAAAATTTACTCAACGAACAAAAGTTCTATATGTTTACATTATAAATCGTAAATGAATTCGTCGAATTGCAAATTTGAATTTCATGCAAATTTGAATTTCATAAGCATGTTATGTTTTTATTGTTTTCATTCATGTTATTCCACGGGTTTAATTATAACAATTCAAGTAATGATGTGAAACAGAAAGCAATAATTTTGTGGGCATATGATCCTCCTGAAAGGGATGCTAAATTGGCAAGAGATGCGCTGAAGGCAAAGAAGCAAGGCATAAAACACCTAAAAGTGGTAGTTGAGATAGCTTGTGCATCATCTCCTCACCACTTGATGGCAGTGAGGCAGGTCTACGCTTCACTTTTTGATTGTTCACTTGAGGAGGATATTGCATCTACTGTTTCCCTCCCCCTCAGAAAGGTGAAAACATATTGACTAGCTCAAGAACATCAGACTCAAATACTGGGTAAATTATTGTTATTATAATGCTATGCTACTAACATCTTCATCCGGAAAAGCCCTCTAAAATGTATGGAGATTCTCAAAGTAATTAAACAGTAATTGACTGAATTAATATTGCGGAAAAAATTATAAAAAAGGAAAAATGTCTCATACTATAAGTTAAGGTCATGTTTGGTGACTGAGTTGGAAAATGAGGTAGAATTGCATTCTGTTTACTTATAGTACTTGTTGCTGGTTGCCATAGATTCTGGTCGGTTTGGTGAGCTCCTACAGGTATGACAGACAGCTGGTGGACTCAGGCATTGCCGGTTCGGAGGCTTCTAGGCTACATGAGGCCATCGAAAGAAAGCAACTAGATGATGATCATGTTGTTCGGATACTCAGCACAAGGAATTTATTTCAGCTCAGAGCGACCTTTGAGTGTTACAAGCAAAAGTATGGAAATTCCTTTGACCAGGTATTGCCTCTACTTTTTTACCGTTTACTAATCATCAAACTTGTGTTCTTTTTAATGTCCTCCTTTTTCCTCTTTCAATTGGCACTTCTGTTGACAGGACATTAAGGCTTGTGGCAATGGTGATTTGGAATCTCTTTTGATGGTGGTATTTTGGTGCATAGAATCACCTGAGAAGTATTTTGCAAAGGTAGATCCATTCCTTGTGCACCAACTTATTATATACTTTTCATTTCTTTTTCATGCTTGTTTGAATTGAACCCTTGTTTTGAAGATAATATCTCTCTCCGACTCCATTTCCTGGTCCAGCAAGACCAATCAGATCAGCTGGATCTTGTCTCTGTAGAGAGAATTGATGCTCCTTGTTAGATATTGATCTCATCTGACTTTTCATTGTTGCTTGAACCACATGCAGGTCATCAAAAATTCCATTGTTGGACTCGGGACAGATGAAGATTCTCTGAATAGAGCCATAATAAGCCGAGCTGAGATCGACATGATCAAAATCAAAGAGGAGTATTCCAAAGTGTCCAAAAGCAGCCTCGTCAACGACATTATAGGTGACACATCAAGAGACTACAAAAATTTCTTGTTAACCTTGCTTGGAGAAAGACTCTGATTCATTCTAATGAGTAGCACTACCCATTACATTTCAGTTAAGACCTCAGATTGCTTTTATAATAAAAGTTGTATGATTATGCTAAGAGTGCTGAAACTTGTGATCTATTTTTGGCACTATTGACCCGTTTGTAAATAATTCAGAGATTGCTTCTTCTTCATCAGCAATGAAAAACTGTTTTACAGTTTGTTCATTGTTGCTAGCAAGTGCTTATTCTGGAAACCAATGCATCTCTTTACTCTAGAGACTTGTTATTTTAGGGCTCGTTTGAGAGTGATTCTGAAAGGGTCAATAATCACTTTTATGGAGAATCACTTCTCCAAATAATCATTTTAAGTGATTTTTTGGAGAAGTACATGGAAGATGCTTCTTCCCAGTCTCCCAAACAAGCCCTATTTATTTATTTATTCAGAGGAGAGGGAGGCAAGGATCAAAATCTTGCTAGGTGTAAGATTAGCGATTTGTTTGGATCCATTAGTTTTTTATTCAATTGGGTCATGGCTCTGGCATTGGTCATTTCAAACACAGGAGGATGAGAGGATGAGAGAATTCGGAAATACAGAAATGCAAAAAAGATGAATCCATTGAATGATATTCCCAATTACATGTGCCTTGACTCTTTGGACCCTTTGCATATGAAATTCACTTCGGATTTAGATCACATACGTGCAGGTGAGCACAGTGCAATTCATGACTCGTTCTTTGTTTTTCATCCTGGTTGACTTTGCTGAGTATTTTTTTTTAGTTGTAGGTTTTCTTTTCGTTTCTTCAAGTGTTTCTTGTGTTTTACTTAGGATTTTGATTACGTTAGTGTAAACTGGGCGTCCCTCTCGTGGTACAAGCGGCCCCAACTCAGGTTAAGGTTTAAGGCTTTACACCAAATCGCATGGTTGAGCTATCTTCTGGAGATGATCTGCACACTTCAAATAATTATTAGAATATGAGCAAACTGCTTGTATCCCAGTTGAACCCCCTCCGATGACTAAGTCAAAAGTAGTTTAAATGTGAAGAGCAAAGGGTATTTATGGGGGGAGAAGGAGGAATAAATATCTAAGGAGGAGATATTTATCTCTCTCTGCCCCCATGGTGGGATTAAATGACTTCTCTTTATCACGATGCTGTCTAACAAGGATCAAGTGGCAAAGCGACACTTGGCTTTGGATGTAACGTGTATTAACTGATCCCTTTCCATCGCCAGGCTGTTTAGCAGGGAATAAGGAGATAGGCGACACTTGGCTTTGGATGTGAGGCACATTAATTTATCCCTTTCCATCGCCAGTGACAGGACCCGTCCAGAAATTCCTCGGAACCTGGAACGGA